TATATCTTTCTGAACGTACCGTTCTCTTTCTCTCAGGATTAACGACCCTGCTCTCCGTGAGCAAAGAAACAAACAACAAAACAAACAAGAACAAAACAAACATTATTTTAAAAAACACAAAACTAGAACCGCGTTCGAAGGACAACTTCATTAGCCACCCGTCTTTGTAGCATCAAGCCGATCAACCCAGGAAAAGCATATCTGTTCTTTATTCCATTACCCTAAAGTGAACGGTCCTGTGATGTTTGCCCGAGAAATCAAACGAACCAGGGATTTTAATTTCAATCGCTTTATTCATTCATTCATTTATTCATTCTTTCATTCATTTATTTATTTATGTATTTGTGAGGCATCGTGGTGAAATCAGGCGCTCGTTAAAACAATAAAATCGAAGAAACCGGCATTTTCCCCCCAGTTTGGCAATATTTATCGAATATCTTTTTTTGTCAAAACACCTTCTATATAAAAACATTCGTATGTGATTTTTTTATATATAAAACATTAAATAATCGCTTAAAATATGTACATTCTCAGTCTTCAATGACTCTCAAGCTATAGAAATGACCAGATTTCTGCGGCCATTTTCTCGCCATTTTTTCCTCTGAAACCGAGCGACCCACACCTCCTTCAATCAAAAGCAAGACAAATAAACAAGCTTTAAGTTTAAGATGATACCAATAATACTACAAGCCCACAAATTGACAAGCGCCTGATTCCACTGCGTCGTGACACGTTAATAAGTTTATCTATTTTAGTCGATTGTGAATACATGTAATATTTTCGTCTACGCCCGTTTCTTAGTAGTCTCTCATTTATTAAACCTTTCTCTATTTCATCTCTCTCTCTCTCTCTCTCTCTCTATATATATATATATCTCTCTCTCTCTCTCTCTCTTTCTCTTTCTCTCTCTCTGTCTCTCTCATATACTACTGAGAACGTCAGTATTTGGCTTTTTTTTAAATGTCAGCTTGCTGTATGTTTTGTTTTGTTGGGCATTTGTGGCCTGGTTGGAGTTGGTTGTTTTTTGTTTAGGGAGTAAAAATATGTGTGTTTACAATATGGATTTAATGCCCACATCTGCACCTTTGGCGAGACCTGCTTATTTAAATTTAAAGTCAGCCTTCGATAAGACCGAGCAAAGTGGGCTGGGAGCCCTGAAAACTCCACAAAACTAGATCTACCCAAGTTCAAACGCCCAGTCTGGTATCCGAACCAGGGCCATCCGCTCCGTAGTTCAACATGATACCAACTGATCTGACGGATTGCCCCCTTTGGGGAGGAGGTACGAAGGAAGGGCTGTCTGAAAGTGTTGCTTATTTCGAGTAGGCCTACTTAACTGTTCATTATAACAAATGACGTCTGCTCTAACTAGCATGCGTGCGTGTCGTGTCGTCCATAAACTCTAGTGGAATTGAATGGGGTCTATTTTTTCTTCTTTTGTTTGTTTCGTAAGAAAATATACTGAAACAGGCTTATTGTAAAGAAAAGTGCCTTATTGCAAAAGCTGTATTTTTTCTGCAGGAGGCGAACGTTTACCATCTTTAGTATTGGAAGGCACAGTAGTTGAATCTATTTATGTTCTAAGAGAACAGTAGATGCATTTTGTGGAGCCTAATTTGAATTATCTAACCACTTACCAGGAATCTCTACTGCCTGCCAGGTTTCTTGATCTTGTTTGGGGTTGCTTGGTGGATATTATTATACCAAAAATTTTTCTTACACGGGCGTACTTTTTTGGTTTTGCTTTCAGTTACGAGACAATATTAATTTGGATGGTTGTATTCAAGATAGGACAGCATGTTGTAAGGCTTTTGTGACTGACATTTTTACGATTTTACAGGAGAGACAAAAAAATAAACAACAAAACTGTCGAGATTCGTTCTTTTGAAAGATCAAGTTTTAACGTTTGGACTGGAGTATTTGTCCTGAAAATACACGTCTTGCATATTATGTTTTATTGACTTCAAGTTTGAGGTAAAATCGTCGTTTACAGGAGTTTTTAAAGTGAAAATACTCCGTTTAAGACTCCTGTATTCTGTCAGTTACAGGAGTTTTTCCACTCAAGTTTGATTTAAAGCCATGATCACAAAGGGACATTTTTCATTGTTACCGACTTTTTGCATTATTCTTTTCTGCTTGTTATCAACGGTAAACAAACTCATACGCGCACACACTGAATAATAAAGATTAAGAGACAAGTCAACTCATACCGATAGATTAGACCAGCAACAGTCACATAAACGAAACGTATTGACATGTATTCACTTGTTTATCTTATGCATAGACAACTTAGAAAAGGAGAGTAATAAAAAAACCCCAAAAGACAAAGATTATCTTTAGAAGATATAACAAGTCTGACGTGAAACAAAAAAGCAAAAGCAACCTTGATTATATTATATCGACAGAGAACCTAAGGCCAGGGTTCGGTTCGCAGGGAAGGGTGTACATGAATCAACGTCCTCAGCTTGCTTTTTAAAATACATCCTTTAAATTCTCACAATCATATTCTCGTATTGAGTTTCATAAAACCTTCCTTCGAATCTGAAGTCTGGGTCTCTTTGTTCTATTTATAGAACTTTGAAATACAAAATATTTGTTGCCAGATAATTTCATTGTTTAGTATTAGAATTTGAGGAAATTTACTCAGCAGTTAGAATGGGTCATAATCTGGGGGGGTTTGTAGCAAAATGAATGCTAGTGCTAGGCCTATATCTTGAATACTTTTTTTTTCGATTTTTTAAATACAAAATAGCCCACCAAATCATAGTTAAAATTTCGCTTATTCACAAAAAACCTATTTGTTTCTATTGTATTGAATTTTTCGTCTATGCAGACGGTCAATTTAGCTTAAGATGGTTTCAAGGTTGTCTTCATGCAGCTTCTTTCATGTCTTATTTTTCCTATGTTTGAAGCGCAGATTCTGTCTCAGTGCTTGCATGTCAGAGTCCTAGATCGAAGCTCTGTATTTCCGCTGTTTTCCTTTCGTCGTTGGCGCTTCTCAGCCTGGTTGTTTCAAAAGCTGCTCTCTAGCATTATAGTTCTTTCCTTTATCATTTTCCTCCATGTTTTCCTGTCTTCAGCTATTTCTTTCCAGATGCTAACATCTACTCCAAGCTTAGATAAGCTGTTTTTGCAGGTGTCTTTGTACCTCAATTTTGGTCTTCCTCTTGGTCTCTTTCCTTGGGCAAGTTCTCCATAGAGAAGTTGCTTCGGAATCCGGTTGTTGTCCATTCTCTTGACATGGCCCAGCCACCGCAATCTTTTAAACACAGGATAGTTGTCATGCTCTGGAGGTTTGCCTGTGCCAACACTTCAACATTTGTAACCTTATCACGCCATGAAATGCCTAAGATCTTGCGGCAGCATCTGAGATGGAAAATGTGGAGGCGCTTTTATTGTCTGCTGTACAAGGTCCATGTTTCAGATCCATAAATGAGTGTGATGAGGACACATGCTTCGTAAATCTTGTTCTTTATTTTGATGGTTAATCTTTTGTTTTCCCATGCTTTTATTGAATTCATATTGCTACATGAAATAGACATGTTTTCTAAGAGCTGTCTAAATTTCTAAGAGATACAATAATAACTGTTAAAAAAAAATAGCCTTCCGAAGGTGCTAGAATGGTGAGAAATTTCGATTCATAAGACCCTTTCCCAAGCCCTCTTTTTTTTTTCTTTGTGAAGGTTTTGCTGTACTGTACTCAATGGTTCGTCATCACTACTAGCAGCATTGCGCAGTTTCTCTTGCAACACTGTCAGAGGTTCATCTTCAGTATCATCATCTGAACTCCTGTTTCTTTTTGTGCCAGTTCTCATCCTCTTTCTCTTAGAAATTTTCTCATTTTCCTCAGCATCGGTCTCTGTACTTGGTCCAGGACGCTCACTTGCCCGGCTCTTCAGACACTTCTTCCTCTTTTCTTTCCGTCTTTCTCTCTCTTCATTTGACATTTGACGGGGGCCACTCACTGCTAGAGGTGGAATATTCACTATCATTCCATCCTACTTTTTCTAAAGTATCCTCAACTTCTGATTCGCAGGAGTCTATGAAAACAAAGGAAAAAAAACCTGTTCATTTATTTAATCTTTACAGCATCGGAGAAATGTTTGCCAATTCTTTAGGTCTGGAATTTCCTTCGTTCCATAAAACCATTGATACTTTTCATTACATTTTACCAAAAAAATATTCCAAACATCTTATATTTGGTGGATTAAAATGGATAAAAACTTAGCGCTTAAACCCTGGAGTGATCCAGTGATGGAAGGTAGCCTTTAACTCAGTA